TGATTCGTTAGAAAAACACAAGTGTGTGGTCTTGCATATGTATAAGGTTACGAAGGCTCTGGAACATATGTAACTGACCCTCAAAGGGACACTTTTATTCCTCTCCACTCATAATAGGAACAATTTCAACAAGAAATGTAAATGGAAAGGCCACCAAAAGGATGATATTTGTACTGATTTATTTAAAATTATATTGAAAAACGAAAAAATACAATGTAGTTGCAAATATACTAAACAACTACAACCAAAATATAACCAAAAATCATAGCTAGCCTAGGTGGTGTTAAATGATAGAAAAAACAGTTCGTGTCGCATGAAACGTTAATTAAAAAAATAAGGATTTGGTAAATGTTTTAACGTTAAACTATTCGTGTGACCATAATGAACAGCGAATAAAGACAATATACAATTAAATTGACATAAGCCAAACATGTTGAAAATGTTGCACGCATAAAATACCTTTTCGAATTTTCATGCCATTTTCTTGGGCCGTTTTACCTTGAATGTTCCGTTTTTGGTACACTGACATAGGCCATTTGCAATTTTCCAACGTATTGGATATATAGGTGAGTAACTCTTCAAATCATAAACCGAAACACGTGTAATAAGAAGGTTTTACTGAAAAAATCTTTTCTATTCTGAACGATATTTGGTACGTTTTAGCAGATGATATTTAAGTGTTAAAAGCGTAGAACATTTGTTGTTTAAAACATTTATTATAAGCGAAATATTTTGGTGGTTTTTTTGCAGCTTAAGAGTCCATTCTCATCCTAATAATGACATACATACCGGTCATTCTAATGCGGAAAAATGTTGAAATTTATAAATGATACAGTGTTGGGGAATAGCATATTGTTTTTAATAAAATGAGAAATTACTTGTTTGCCGTTTAAACGTCATTTTATAAATAATGAACCACATTTTGTTAAACCATGGCAAACAGTATTGGATAATATGGAGTTCCGAAAAACACCAATTACCTAACGTATGCCTAAATAATTTCGTTAACGTATACACAAAGCAATGTGAAATATTTTGAATATGTACTTAATAGAAATTTCACATAACATCGAATAAAAAAAGTAAAAACGGCAGTGTAAACAGCATCCTCGATTTCCAGGTGTTACGCTCATTTACGCTCTCTGCACCCCTTGAATGTGTCATAGCAAAATCGAAGGCTCAGTGTGCGCCACCTTGTTGACGAGACAAGAAGGCTAGTTTGATCATTTGATGTACATCAAAATAATCTCTCGGTGGCGTAACGGTAAAACTTTGAAGTCAGGCGTCGCTCCTCTGTATTCTTCAAAGAACAACCATCAGTCTAGTGATTGGTCAGGGATTTTTACTTGAGACCAATCAAATAGCTAGCTTCGTTCCTTCAATTTTGCTATGACATATTCCAGGGGTGTTGAGATCGAAAGTGAGCGTAACCCCTGGATATCGAGGATTCGTAAACAGTGGTACGCTAATATATCAAGATTCATAAACAGAAAAACCAGAAACACAACATATTCGAGAAAAAGTACTGATATTCTATCAAAATATTTACATATTTTGCTAGATATATAGATTTACAGTTATTGATACCAATCAAGCCATGTATGAACCTATCCATAACGATCATTTCCGGTGCATACTACTCTTCAATAGCGTATAATTTGCGATAAGTGACACACGTTTAGTTAGACATTTTTGAAATGAGTAAACACTTATTTACATCATAATTCGTTTCTACATCAACACGATTATGTCTTTTCAAGAAACACTTCAGTAATCCCTTCACTTACCAATACCATCACGAATAAGACGTTTGACGGACAATGAATTTACAATCATGTTTCAAATTATAAATTATTTCTGAAACCACCATGTTAAGTATGAAATCCTCTGAAATAAAATAACGAAAAAGATGATTCAAGAAAGTACTTTTACACTTACTTATATATTCCTGAACCGCTATCTTTACGAGTTAGCCTTTGGAAAACCCATAGAAAACATCATCATTCTAGAAGCATACATTCCATTTCATTATTGATACATTCTTGTACCAATAACGATTTAATCCTTCAAGGTTCAAATGCAAAGACAATTATTCAACGCCAAATCATTTAAACTACAAAATTTTAAAACAAAATTCGTTATACATGAACAATCTGTATTAGATTATATGAGCTTTATTGCTTCATTCAGATAAGTGATTGCAAATACCACGAGAGGATAGGCGACAGTGTGTGTTGTACGGACAAGAACTGTACCGATAATGCCTTCAAACAAATGAATGATAGTAAGTATCAATTTGATAAAAACAACATGTTTGCCTACTTTGTGTAGAGTATTTGGGAATTATTTCATCTGAATAAATTCCTACCGCCTTAGTGTTTGTAATGTTATGAGCATCCATAAATTTAACTGAGTAATTAATTTGCAATAAATAAATCTTCGATTTTTCCCCTCAGTGGCCTTTACTTGTCCAACGTGCGAGCACACACAGGATCCACAATCATGTATGAACACGCAAGGGAAATGTTCTTATCTGAGTAAGGTAAGGTAAAATTCTTCACCCACAATATTTTAATCAAACATATTATCATAGCTTTATCGTTTGAAATAACTCTCAACTTAGTACTATAGATAAATATCACATGTTTATGTCTATGTACTCTTGCTAGATATTAACCTAGATAGTTTTGATTCAGGGCTGCATGATCACACATTCCCAGAGCGGTTTATCATCTGGCTGCAATACACATAAAACGGTAAAGTTTTTTTTTCAATCGTTTATTTTCGATGGAATATTATTTTAGCTTTAACTCGCAACGAAGGTTTACCTTTGATCGATTGCTTTTCCATGGAGTATCACTTTAGCTTTAACTCGCAAAGAGCATCGTATCCAAATGTATTCTTCCATAATTTCATGAAAATAATATATCTAAATGGTTTATTTTAATGTCCATACAACATATTTTGGCTAGGAATGAAACATCAACTGGATAGAAAAAATCAGGAAACAAAGAAGTACAACATACCCATTGCTATGTGGATAATAATTAACATTTGGTTTCGACTTGATATTTCGTTCAGCACTGCCAAAGGGCGGAAGATCTTAACTCCGTACTATGTAACGTGCACCCGATCCCGTTTGCGTACTCACCAGGACTCCAATGTAGCTTCTGCTGTCATAAAAATGATAGCACGTGTGTACTAGACGCGCTGGGAATCCATGATGGTATATATAATGTTTGATATGTTGTCCTGACTAAGTCTTTACTTGATCGTTTCAAGTTTGCGATTCGGCTCTAAAGTAGTGATTTGCTATTATTCTTTTTAGCGAAAGAGACTATTAATATATCCCTTGTTTGAAATTGAGATCATGTTGCTTTGCAAAATAACACAAAATATAAATAAATTTATAAAAAAATACACATATATCGTGCACCAATGTTAACAGTGTTGTGAAAATATTACATCTGAATTTATTGAAAAACTATCCATTTTTATAGGATAATTTATTTTTTGTTTCATTCCGTTGAAATATTCATATGTTTTAAAATTGAAATAAATATTTGGAATTCATTATCTTTGTAATACATTAATCCATTGCTATGTAATGGCTATCCGTTGCTTCTCTGTATAAAATGTTGTCATTGTTGGTACGGATATTGACGCTTACTAAATTCAATGCTTTGAGATTTCTTTGCAATATCCTCATATTAAAATAGATAATTATTGTACCTCTCTCATCATCTAACTACTTTTAAAACTTTCCAGTTTTTCTATTTACAGATTGCCAATTAAATATGAGTCTTTTTTTAATGTCGTCATTGTTGATTGGCAATGCCATTCTAGTGCTTCCTTTTCATTTCGTCACTGTGAATTATCTGTAAGGTTGATTGTGTCACTCTTTGATTATGTCATCGTCGATTTGGTATGTGGTTCATCGCAACATGTTGAATGGATATGAGGTTCATTGCATAACTCTTTTAGAAGTCATCGTGTTGAATGGGTAGATGTTAATTGCGTCACGTTTGTGAAGTCATCGTGTTGAATGAGTAGATGTCCATTACGTCACTCTTTTCTATAGCGTCATTAATGATTAGATACAATATCGTTTCTTCACTGTTGTAACCAATAATACTGCGTTGACTAGCCATTAATCTATATTTTATACTGTACGATTTATACAAAACGCATGTTCTGCTAAATGCATTATAGTGACCCCGCCACCGACTTCTGATCCTGCAGCTGGAACTTCAGGTATAGTTTGTGATCATCATCCTCGCATTCCTACATCTATGTTCACTTGACATAATTGTCTGTTACTTTTTTAAGTGTAATTATGTTATGGTGTTTGATTTTAAACGGTAAAAATGGTAAGGGTAAGCGTTTCGAGAGAGACACTGCAAGTATAACATCTGTATATGAGCGAAATGATTATGAAAAGAGACACTAAAAGCATAATAGGTAAACATGAACTGTGTGTTTGTCAAGAGAGACATCAAAATTATGACAACCGACTAACGGTAGATGTGTCTAGAGAGATACCGCAAGTATAACAGCTGTCAATAAACGGTATATGTGTCTAGATAGACC